GCTGTAACAGTTACATTGTGCCAAGAAGCTATCTCTCGGTCCAGAGGTTCAGTGGTAATGATTGCTCCATTGTGTTCATTGATGCTGAACAGTCTCTTTAAATGCGTGCTGTGGACAATAGAGTACCTGCACCAAAAAAAGGAAAGACATTCCCTAGTACTGAAATGTTTCCATCAGAGGCAAGGACATAGAAAGCTATTGTCAGCTGAGAAAACAGAGCTGTGCATATATGTATATAAATGAGTGCTGCAACAACTCGAAAATCATGAAAGATGTACACTTATAAACATTTAAAATTCACTGCTGCCAAGATCAAAGCTCTTCTTTTTATAAAACTAAATACGTCTCAGATCTATATTAATATGAACTGAATCTGAAATCCATTATTCATTCTTACTTCTAAGTCAGTCTCACAGCAGGTGAATGACTTCATTGAAAAGAAACAGCAAAATTGCCACTTGTGAAATGAATAACACAAACATCTAAGTGGAGGTATAATAGCAAATCTATTTTATCATTGCTGACATGCTCTGATGCTAAGGGAATGGGCATTATAAAGACAGACAACTATCTTTAATGAGGTAACACTAAGGCAGAGTACAAAATGCTAATGCAGGACGTGATTGCAGGGAAGACTCAGTGCTCCTGAGTCTTTGCTGAAGAGACTCCAGATGCTGCGGACATGTACATGTGCACATACATATACACATGCCACTCAAGTTTTTCAAGTCTAATCATTTGTTGCGGGACAAAGATGAACTGAAATAACAGCCAAAGATATTGGTTCAAATGGAAAATATATTCACTGATGTTTGTAATGGCTGACAAAGCAAATGGCTATATAATGCAGTTGCTAATAAAGTCTATTTCATGGAAATAAAACATGTTTGAATAGCTGAAAGATTATTTCCACTCCAATTTATAATGCCCAAATACAACTATTCCTTCTTACTGTACCTTTGATTCTGCTTGACAAAGCCTTTTTGTTTCCTGTTGACACTTAGGACTCCAGCTCAGATAACATGTCAGTGGTTAAATGACTCTAGCTTGTTATTTATAGCTGTATTTTGTCTCTTTTAAAAATCAGTAAGAAGATAAATCAAAGAAACAGCACAATACTATAAGTGAAAGTTCTTATAATTTGAACCAAAGTTTGAATACTTATAAACTTCTATTTAAGATATTTATGATTTTTTGACATAGTTATTTTGGTTTGTTTGGACAGTTTTTGGTAATCTAATTCTTGATAAACATTTTTCAGAAAAACTATATTAGGTATTTATTATTTTTTTAAATTTTTTTTACTAACATAATGAGGTCTTGCTGCACACCTTTTTTGTTTGTTTGAAACCTGGAGTCCACAAAGCAACACAAGTTGTTTTCTTTATTATAGGTTTATTATAGGTTAAATAGGTTTCTTTATTATTATAAACTGCTGTTGTTTATGATATGAATGGTTTCAAAATTAGATTTATTTTCATGTCACTTAAAAACATATCTTTATATTAAAACTGATATACTCTATTCTAGAGGAACTCAATGAGCCAATACCTGTATCGCTCTTTTGGGAGTATGCCGACATATTCAATTTGAAGCCAGTTCCTACAAAACATTCCTAACTAAGAAGTTATGGATATGTGTTAGTATTCAACTGTTCCACAAGAGATGTTGCAGTCATCTAAACAAACCACCAAATGAGCCCTTTTAGAGGAAGGACCAAAAAAATATATGTAAATTTTTTTTTTCTTATTTAATTTAGCTTAATTCTTGCTTAATAAATAACAGTAAATAGATGGAAAATCATAACAAATAACTGCCTAAAGCTCTGAGCTGTAGCATAATATAGATATACTTCTGATATTTGAAATCTACACACCATAAATTATTTTGTGTCTCAACCATTTGTCACTCTATCCTGCTTTGTCTAAATTGCATAATACACAGTGATGTCAGGCAATTCAAGAAGCTATTTTAATTATAAATCCCATGTTAAAAATTAATTACCTGTTTTCTCCCTTAAGAGACAGCAAAATTATTTATCATTGATATCATAAAAAACAGAATCTGTTATTGCTGGGTTGAATGTTTATGTGTCAGCTGGCTTGTGTTAAGCAAGTGTTTTGAGTCTTTTTGCATCCCTTGTTTTTCTTGGGGATATGTTGATGATTTGGGTTTTTTCCATCTCTAATTTTATTTGATACTATTTGTTATTATTATTATTAGTAGTAGTAGTAGTAGTAGTAGTATTGCATCCCAGTGGCTGTAGGAGTTAACAAGTGCCTGTATGGTCCTTATCTGCTCATGTGGGTTAAACCATGACATCTGCAATAACCTTGGCTATCACAGAAAAAGCATAATTAACTGTAATTACGAGCTATGGTAAGGAACAGAAATGTGCTTTGGAAATACCAACTATATTTGCATTTGAGGCCTGTTCACATTTTAAGACAGGTACCTGATTGGACTGTCATCATTATCTGGATCTCTAGCAGTTACAACCCCCACCAGTGCACCAATCATAGCTCCTTCAACAATCTCCATCACATAGTTCTCCAAGGTGAAAACTGGAGGTTCATCAGCATCTTCCACATTGATTTTGACAATGGTTGTGTCTTCAAATGGTCCTTCTTTCAAAAAACGCTGATCAATGTATCTGTTTACAGCTTTTACTTGAATACTGTATCTCCTTTTGCTTTCATAATCCACTCTCTGTTAAAATATAAATTGATATTTGGAATATTTCTTTCTTCATATTTAAATTGAATATAGTTCAATAAATGGTGCAAGATTTAAGACAAATTAGTGTTATACTTTTAAGAATGTTTAAAAAAATGGTTGCTTCTTAAAGTTAATTCGGAGGTTTTTTTATGTTAAAAAACACTTCCAAATTAGAATGTGCTTGTTCCTTTCACATTTCATGTTAACTTTAATGTCGCAGTCAAGCAACACTGTAAAAAAGAATTTACGTAGAATGTCACCCCTTGTAACACATAGTTTCATTACAATTTTAGTCTTCATCTTCTGAATAAATATGTATATATAAATATTTACAAATGACTTACTAAATAAATTGTTTCCCAAACTAAAAAAAAAAATAAAAACAAAACCAAAAATGATCAAAACAAAACTCTCACACTTATAGCATTCAATTCTCAGGGTCCTAGATTTCACTAGGCTATTGAACTCTGTCTTTATTTCAGATGATCCCTGAGATGACCGAGAAATTTTCCTGAGTGATTCCGAAATAAATTATACAGTATCAAAGAATATTGATTTTCTTAATTCATAAACTGGTCTTTTTTGATTGTACTTAGTTTCTTTTCAAAGCTATGTCATAACAAAAACTCCACTATCTAATACAGTAATAAATTCTGGTTTCAGTTTACAGAAGGTGTAGGAAATGAGGTGAGATTGCTTCCAATCTACTGATAAAGATTTTACAGATGATGCACAGAAGAGATAGAACATTTTCTCACAATGGGATACACTGTGTTGCACAGTTAGGAATAACATTAAGATATTCTGATTGTCACTATTATATTCAGCAGTAATAGAAATGAGTCTAAAATGTAAACAGAAAGAAAAGCGTTTTTCTTTTTATTCCTCATAATATTCCAATCAAATCACAAAGCCTAAAGAAAAAAAAACCTAGGGAATCCAAAGGAATAGGCCTTATATACACATCCAAGTTGCTTGAGGATTTTCTTTCAAATATTTAAAGGGTTGTTGTTTTTTTTAGGTTTCTGAGATCTCACCTTGTTTAGTAAGATAATACCTTCTTGAGTCTCATTGTTAGTAATGATGTTAAAAACATCTGGGCTATCTGTTTCAATGAAATAGTCCATGGCTGCATTCTCCCCAATGT